AGCTAGTTAGGCTATTGTCCTTATGAATTATTGGAGTGCTCCGGCCTAGGACTCTAGCGGAGTCCAAGTCCGCTAGGAGCCCTGGGCTGTAGCACCTTCCACTGAAGGAGGTGCCTCCAATACTACTAATAAATAATATTAAAGGAGATAATAATAATTTACTTATTAATACTATTAGAAGAGCTTTAATAAAAGGTATTATAATAATAAGCCCTAATAATCTTAATAGCCTTATTATAGAGCTTGCTAGATTATTTTAATAATATATTCTTCTTAATAAGGAAGTAAATAGAGAAAATATAATTAAATAATTCTTTATTTTCCTTAAAATAATAAAAATAAATAAGATATTTCTTATTAATATTTAAAGTAATAATAAATATAGAATTACCTTTTTTCTAGCTTCGATTATTAATACTTTATATAATAATTATAGAATTAAAAGTAGATTCTTAACTATTAGCCTTATAAATAATATTAGCTATAATATTATATTAATTATAGACTTTTATTATTATATATTTCTCGAATAAAGTAAAATTATAATTATAAATACTATTAAAGAGTATATAAATAAATATAAATATTCTAATATTATAGATCTCTAAGAAGTAATATTAAAGGGTTTAAATATAAGCTAGATAGGTATAGAAGTTTAGAAAATTATTAATCTTAATCCTATAGAATTTATAAATAAGATCTATAATAATATCTAGTAAGACCTTAAATATTATTCGATTAATTATATTTTATAATTTATAAAGGTCTCGATCCTTTATATTCTAACCTCCGCCCTTAAAGCGATCGAGGAGGCTAGGATTAATAATAGAGGAAAGAGTATTTATTACTATTACCTTCTTCTCCTACTATACCTCTAGGGCCTTAGGGTTAATAAGGGGTAGGATTAATAAATAAAGGAATTAAAAATAATATTCTCATTCTAGTATATTAATAATATTAAACTACTAGGAGTAGAGGTTTAATTTACTAATTAAGTAATCGATTTAAGTATAGAGCTAAGGATAAGCTATAATAGCTTAATATCGTTAAGTAATCGGGCTAATTTAGTAAGAATAATATTTATTATAAAGGAGTAATTTAAAGTAGAGTTTTCTATTAAACTTTATTTAAAATAAATAATAGTAATACTATTAAATAGAGGAAATAAAGCTATTAATAATAATATAAAAATCGTAATATTAATAATATTATATAGTACGTAAAAGGGCGTATAACCTATTAGAGGTCTAGAAGAAAGGTATATATATTAGGAAGCTATTCTCTAGGGTAGGAGGGTGCCTATAACTGAGCTATAGGAGGTGCTAGGGCACAGGCTACCTAGCACCAGGTGAATGCCACTGGAAGCCCTAAGCGAATACTACTAATATTAAAATACGCCTTATTCCTATTAGGATTAATCTAAGTACTTTTCTTAATTAATTACCTATCTTCTTAATTAATGCCTCTACCTATTTACCTTCGATCTAAATGAAAAATATACTATTTTATAGCTCTCGTTGAGGGCTATAAGAATCTTCGATTTATTCCTCGATCTAATATCTCCTCCTTAAGATATAATTACTTTTATCTCTCCCTTCCTCTTATTCCTTTATCTATTATTATCTCCTCCTCCTATAACTAAGTAATACCCTCAGTCACTGCCTAATACCTCCTACGTCGACTATAATATATACTAATACTAGTAAATAATTTATAAGTTTTATATTAATTTTAATTTATTAAGGCTATTAAGTATAGCCTTGACTTCTCTTTTAAACTTAAATCTATTATTGAAATATTAGCGATAAAATATATAGGGGTTAGGTTCCTAACGTCTGATTCCTTATACTTAGCCTACCTTAATCGTGCTATAAATCCATAGATTATAGCACTATTTATATCTCGAACCTAAGGCATTTGAGGAATGACTCTTAATGATAGTCCTAATACTCGGGTAACTTAGTTTCCCCGACTACTACACATTGCAGCATCACATATGGATAGGGTTTCATTGGCCAAAGAAGGGCCCGCCAGATATTAGTCAGCACAGCAAACCAACCATGCCTGAGGACATCAAGCCTCTTTTCTGCGTACTGCCGCTGCTTCGAACGACATCAGTCCACAGTCCATGAAGCTGTCTTCTGGCTGCGATTGGGTTTCGACATCGACTCGCCCACAGGCTACCTCTACACGAATCAAATCCGCCACGCCGTTCATTGTGCTGCTTCCAAAGCCGTGACCTCTCAACGAATCACGATGTCGACGCGACAAGCTGCTCTGTACGCCACATCAGACATCCCTTGAGCAACGACCATGTTGCTAACATGACCCTCTAACAGGTCGCTTTACCGACGGTCTCTGAAGCTCTCACTTGACTGGGCAGTCCACCGTCATCTTTGGAGAGGCCAAGCGCTCTACATTCGGTCTCTTTTCGAGGCGAACCGCAAGGTTACTGACGCACGCCAGAAGAGGGTACCATCTTCATCACGACAATGCCCCATCCTCCAAGCGTTGGACTGACTATGGACCCAACAGGAACTGCTAGCAGAGACCGAGAAGCTTCTGGAGAGATGGAAGCACCCTGATCCGTACACTCCGCCGACCGCCCCTGGTGGTATGTGTCTCCGTGGATGCAGTTGTGCTCCTTCACCCTGAATATCAACCCAACTAACCCAATCCAGGTTCGAAATATGAGCGAAACCTCCCTCCGCCAATCCTTGACGGTATGTTCCCCGAAGTCTTCCGTTTGCCGCCCCAAACAACACGGAGGCTAATTGATTCGCAGCTCCTCCCCCACTCAAGTTCTGAGCAAGCAATTGGTATTATCGATGTGGAGAATAGCTTTATAGTGAAAGCAGTGTATATAAGACCGCCAGGAAGAAAAAAGCGATGTTCGAAATCCGTCAAAAGGAGACCTTTTCGCTCCATGATTCTAATCGTCTTGACGATGCCGCGACATGATGGGTCTGGTAGGCCCCGTGTAAATATAACAGACCTACGTCGAACCACGAAAGACTGGCAGTAAACCCGGACCAAGGACCGGACAACCGAGTTGAAGTATACCAGCGTCTTCTTACCAAACAACTACACCAAACACGTGCAATATGCGCGAAGAATACGTAACGACCAAGGTGCAATGAACGTGTAATGAACTTCAGAAGGTATTCTTATTCATCACCATGCCGGCCATAAAAGCCGTGGGGGATTATTGTACAACCCAAACGCGAAAAATCAACCCCGAACCCTGAACCGAGACCCCGATGTCATGACAACCCAAAGCGCAGCCGACCAGCAGGAAAGAAAAGCCAAAACCGCCGCCAAAATTACAGCTCTTGGCTCTGGTTCTTGCCAGTCTTGCCAGACTTCTTAGGCAGGAGGTCTGTGAAGGCATGTCAGAATATGTAATTGTTGCATACGTTCCGGATGACTTACTCTGGTGAATGTTGGGCAAAACACCACCTTGTGCGATGGTGACATGTCCGAGAAGCTTGTTCAACTCCTCATCGTTGCGGATGGCCAGCTGGAGATGGCGAGGAATGATACGAGTCTTCTTGTTGTCACGGGCGGCGTTGCCGGCCAGCTCGAGAATCTCAGCGGCGAGGTACTCAAGAACGGCGGCGAGATAGACGGGAGCGCCAGCGCCGACACGCTGGGCGTAGTTGCCCTTACGGAGCAGACGGTGAACACGACCGACAGGGAAGGCCAGGCCTGCCTTCGATGAACGACTACAAACGAATGTTAATACCAGACAACACGTAAAGCAAAGCTGGCCGAGGCGGGCCGGCACAGCATACAAGGCGAACGGGCTACTTACGACTGCGCGTTCTTGGAACCGCTGGCCTTACCGCCGGACTTGCCGCCTCCAGTCATTTTGACGAGTAGTTGATTTGGGAGAAAAAGGTAGTTTCGGTTATTGAGAACGGAGAAGACGCGTCTGGGCAGCTGTATGTGGTAGAGGATGTGGGTGAGAAAGATGGATGAAAGGGGAGAGCGGAACGTTGGCGGGGGGTCCAGAAGTTAAGTAGTTTTCGCGTCAGATCAGTGAGCTCCCAGATCACCAAGCGTGTTTGGGGGCTAGTCCCGATTGGGCCACAACCTGTTGTTGTCGACGTGCATCATTATTGGGGTCGCACCTGCACCATTATTCGGAAGGTACGTACTCCCTCGGCTCTCAACGCTCAGACACTTGCCAATAAGGTGCCTGGCGTTCAAAGGTGTATATACCCAGCCCCCCTCTGCTTCTCCCTCCACAAGCCCGGGTCAACCCTGCGCGTTCCCCCCCCCAGTGACTGCATCAATACTCCCTCCTACGGAATCTCATCAAGAAACTCATTCTGCCAATGGGGGGTTTTATTCGCTAAGCAACCGTGCCGAACCCGCGGGTTTGAACACCGGAGGTCCCTTCGAGGACAAGTACATGTACCTAGTGCTCAATAACTCGCTGTACAGGTTTCCAAGTCTTCGTCATTCGGCCTGAAGCACAAATGCTGAAAGCAAGTTACAGGCATGTCTACCTCTTGACTTGATGATCGTTCTCCGCGTTCCGTCTTCAGTGTAAGCCTCCACGCGGGTGGCCGAGCCTTAGCACAGCGCGGGTCGCACTTGGCATAATGTTCCGTTCATTAGATTGGGAGGAGCCTCGGACGTCTGCCCCACAAAGTGATGCTTCAATTCTGTTTCTTCGCTCATGGGGACTGCGGAGTGGGCGGGACATTGTGAGATACATGGTCGGATATCTGCTACCTTCGCGCTTCAGCCTTGTCTACCTATGCCAAGGCGCTGCACCAATTTCACGCGTCGCTCTGTTCCGTAAAGTGGCAGCAGCCCCTGCAGCCGATTCGGCAGACAAATGACACATAGACCGTGTTCCCATTTGGTGTCTCGTGTGGATTCGTGGTCAGTATGTGATCTGGTGGCCACAAGATAAGCTCGCAGATGGATTTCACTGGCCTGGTGAATTGTTTTGCAATACTGCTTCGAGATGTATGTAGCTCTTGACTAGCGCGTTCGAGTGGCCGGGATGCTGGCACGATTATTCTGGACCCCTGCAATCCAACCACGTCCCGTCACGCATTTTCTGGCGCGTCGCAGCAACCAGTACCCCACCCGCGCTTTCCCCCCCAAGCCACGCCTCCCCGAATCACTCTCCTCTGTGCACCCAGATCAGTAACGGCGCTAGCGCCCGTCGCGTCCAGCTACAAAAGCCCACGGCCACCCCCCGATCTCCCTCTCCAACACCATCTCTTCCACTTTTCACATCCACCAGCTGCCCCAACAACGATTGACTGCACTCGTCCAACCGTATTCCATCTCATTCTTTCAACGAATTTCAAATCACCCACACAGTCCGTCAAAATGCCCCCCAAGGCCGCCGACAAGAAGCCCGCCAGCAAGGCCCCCGCTACTGCCTCTAAGGCTCCTGAGAAGAAGGATGCCGGCAAGAAGACCGCCGCCAGCGGCGACAAGAAGAAGCGCACCAAGACCCGCAAGGAGACTTACTCTTCTTACATCTACAAGGGTTAGTACCACATCGACATTCTCCCTCGCCTTCAGCACGTCGCGTCTCGCCGCGCGTTGTGCGCCCGGGCCACTCTTCTCCACGCATCATCTCTAACACCGATTCAGTCCTCAAGCAGGTCCACCCCGACACTGGTATCTCCAACCGTGCCATGTCCATCCTGAACTCTTTCGTCAACGGTAAGCTCCAAAAACCAAACGCTGTGGCGTCTATGGACCTAACACCTTAATAGACATCTTCGAGCGCGTTGCCACTGAAGCCAGCAAGCTTGCCGCCTACAACAAGAAGTCCACCATCTCCTCCAGGGAGATCCAGACCTCGTAAGTTACACTGAATGCCCCGGTCACCACTTATTCTAAACACCAATAGTGTCCGCCTTATTCTTCCTGGCGAGCTGGCCAAGCACGCCGTTTCTGAGGGCACCAAGGCCGTCACCAAGTATTCCTCGTCCACGAAATAAGCGACTTGTTCGCAGTGTTTTTCTTTTCGGGCATTGGATTTGCTTGACACTGGGTGTCTTGAGTTGAGACCCGTCAATCGATTCAGCTTGGCTTTGGGTCTCTTAATGCGTTACGGATGGTCTGCTTTTTGGGGGCAATGTCTTCACGGTCAATCGGGGTTCGCGGCTGTACTATACCTTGAGAATAGGGTTTCGGACGAAATGAAATCGTGCATATGATTTTCATCAACACCAGACTCGCGCCTCTGCACGCCAGTGCAGGGTTTCTCCCCTTGACTAATTTTATAGGACGTTTAATATGTCAACCTCGACTCCCGTGTCCTGTTTAATCGATCGGGTCTAGCCAAGGCCGGCCTTGCCTCTTTTAACCTTCTGCTCGACAGGTTGCAGGATACCCTTGTTGTCCATCGATCCCAAGGCTGTTCCTGTACTCCAGCCCATCTTTTCCAACATGGCGCGACCGCGGTTTTCTTGACCCAGTTCTGGGGCAGAACCTCCAACGACCTCGCCGTCACGATAGCCTGTATCCGGCTGACCGCCACCGCCACGACGTACGGATCCCCGCACGCCACTCCATCGCGAGCCCAGATCCTTACGAGGGAAGTATTTGCGTCCCACACGACCAATGGCTTGGTCAAAATTGTCCGCTGAATACTGCAAGGTCCTGGCCGTTCTGTACAGGGTAGGCCGGCGTTGGTCGCCGGATCCGGTTGACTTGGACTTGATGTTGAACTTGTTGGCCAACTCGTGCAATACCTTCCTGGCGTGGTTGTCCATTGGAGGCAGCGCCAAGCTTTTGAGTTCAAAATGGTCAGCTAGGGACGTTGGTGTAGAGGGTCATCGGTAGTACACTTGCCTTGCCTGACTATTCTTCAAGAAGCTTTCGAGTTCTTGGGCAATCTGTTCGATGCCCATACCTTGAGGATACTTGATCCGTAAGTCCTCCGGTTTGCCCTTCTTGCCGAGTAAGCCTTGCGCGCGCAACTTTTCGCGCTCTTTCTTTCTCCCGGCTTTCTTGAGTCTGTCGTTGTTGTATGTGGACAGCAGGACAGCCTCAAGTTCAGAATCCGATACGTTGAACACCGGGAGCTTCCCCTTTTTCGGTTTACGTGTGCGCTTGGTGATGGGATCGCCCCATTCCATGAAATCAAGATCATCGTATTCGTCATCTTGCGAGCTGTATGCATCGGTTGCTTCGCCTGCAGCAAACATTTGGGCAAGGAGAAAGTCGCTATCGGTCAGCCTTGTATGTGGCTCACGCTGCTTGGATTCGTAATCCAAAGCGTCAAGATCGCCAACGGATTTCGAGGACCCGGCTAGGGAAGCAGCATCTCCACTCAGCCCTGACTTATCATCATTCTGCGCTGATTGCAAGTCGTTCTCCACGTGCATGTCCATGTCTGAACCACCAATATCACGTTTGGCATGACCTTGACTTGTGATTAAGCCCAGATCATCGCCATTTTCGCGCATGTTGGCAATGTAATCAGCCAGGATTGCTTCCTGTTCCTTACTGGCGTCTTCTGCTTGTCTTAGGTTGCCATTCGCTCTCACCTTGTGTTTCTGCCTTTTTTCCCTGTTCTTACTAGGCAAGTTTGGCGACAGTGCTTGAGTTCCCACTGCCGAAGGGCCACGAATATCGGCATCCGTAACAAGCTGGTGTACCTCTTTTTGAATGTCCCTGAGATCGAAAGCCTTTTTTTGCTGCTTCGCATGTGGCCTATTTGGCTTCTGTGGGACGATTTGACGACTCTTTGGCCCCATTTTGTTACGTCCTCTAAACAAGATGACCTCCTCGCTCGAATCGCCACTCGACTCAAGTGTGGATAGCTGATGAGTATCTTCGGGTACACTCCTCTGATGGCGGTGTGAGGGATCTCCATTGGTGTCGATGAAAAAAAGCAATGGACTTGATGGGGGCTCAGTCGGTACGACAGCAACTTGACTGGCCTCGGCAGAAGCAGGGTTGTCGTTGGGCGCAGTTGAATTGAAGATTGGAGACGCTGGTCTGCTGTGTTGGGACGCAAAATCCTCTTCAGCATGGTTTGAGGTAGAACCCAAGCCTTCCCAGGGGCTAGCTGATGGATTATCAAACGCCGGACCCTGGACAACCATGGGAGTCATATGATCAGATACTATGTCGGCTTGTTGGGAGGTGACGTCTAGCATGGACGTGGGTGCCTGGCGCGACAGACCATCCAGAGCATCATTGGCCTTGGATTGTAGTTCTCTTTCCAGGCGTTGGAGCTGGTCTTCTAGCTGTTTGAGAGGATCGACAGCCCCAGCACTCACAAAGTTGACGGGTTGATTTCGAAGCCGAGTGCCAGCACTCCAGGGAGTATGTCCATGAGCTGTTGATCGAGCCTCATCGGCCAGTGAGAAGACCGTTCGAACTAGATAGAGGTTAGTCGTTGGCATTCAAGGTCGATGAACGGGAATTCATCCGATGTCGCACATCGCTACTCACTGTATGATGGTTCTGTTGCATACGACTGAGCATCTGCGAGGCCCCGAGAGGAGGGGTTGCGGCCTGCACCGCCTCTACTCGAGCCTCTACGACCGCCACCTCTGAAACCTGGTCGTGGCATGCTGGTTTATGAAGAATGAGTGAGTTGGGGGCGGCCACGGTTCTTTGTACAATTTTCATGTACTGGAAGAAAAAGGTCCCGTGTGGCAAATCCAAGCGCAGATGGAATCCACTTTTTACGAGTTTGTGTAAACGAGTTTGAAAAGCAAAGGGTCAAGTGGAATGATGATGATAATGGCCGTATGATCACAATCTAGTCGTCGTCGCAATGACATGGACCCGTATGTTTCAAGGACAGGAATAATTGGTTAGGTAACCGCACAAGGTAGGTAGAGCCTGACTGGAGTCGAGGCAGAGAGAAGACTGGGGCCCACGGACTACATGTACAGCATCCTAGGTAGACGTGCTATTTTAGCGGGCTCTATGACTTGACCTGACTCTGGCCTACCTAGGTAGGTACCTTAGGCCTGTCATTGAATGAGACGGTGCAAGCAAATGTTTCATCTACAGCTCATTTTCTACCCTTGAGCAAAGGGTTGATGATATCACACAAGACTTCTCCCTTATGGTATCAATAATCAAAGCCACCAGCCGACTCGAATGTGTGGTCTTGCTAGTGACTAAAGCGCATTTACCAAGGTCGGTGAATGAGTACAATTGGCATCAAGCCTTACGGGCCTATGAACCTTGGTCTCATTGCAATATCTCTATGTCGCAAAGTACTGGTATCAAAGCAATCACACATGCACAGTGTGTCCACATATCGGCACGCAGCCTTTCGTGGTGATCCAATCATTATCTTATCTTATCTTGCCCCTCAACTGCGTCACAGGATCAGGCAGCTTGGAAGCTGAACGTGATGCTAATTCTACCTGAATACATCTCCTGGCCATTCCATGGATGAGCCTTTCTCCTCAAGGAAACACAATATACCGCCACCGCAAATGCGGCAGTGTTGTCTTTCGAATAGTCGCCAGTGCAGATACTTGTCATCTGTCTGATAACGAAAGTTCTAGCCCCCAAGTGCCCACTACAACCGATCGCCCATACTCTCGCCACATATAGCGGTCCTCGGACGAAGATGGAGTCAAATATGCCCGGGGTTGACATGGGTCGCTATCGCCGCATAGTGCAGATGTTCTGGGACCCCGAGCCTTGCAATGACCAGGTTGACGATCAGCCTGTGTGGTGTCTGGGCAACTCGTATACCTTGAACACGAAGGACAGTCGAACAAGACCAGAGACTGGCCATGCCACCTCGCACCTGGTAGCAGACAGAGAAGCGCGAACGAAACACGGAGATACAGTAGTCCCAGGAAATGCCCCGGAAACTCCACCAGAGTCGCAAACGAGCAGCTTCTCTTCTTCTTCTCTCGCTTACGACGAGGCCATGAATCAAGATGGGGGGTGGCCGTCAGCTTTCTTGGATGATTTTGAATCAAAGTTTTGGATGACATACAGATCCGACTTTGAACCTATTGCAAAGTCTACTGATCCTCGTGCAGCATCGGTCCTCTCGTTGTCAATGCGGATCAAGAGCCAGTTCATGGATCAAGCCGGCTACTCATCTGATAGTGGATGGGGTTGTATGATTCGATCAGGACAAAGCCTATTAGCCAATGCCATGGCTGTTTTGGACCTTGGTAGAGGTATTCGTGCATTCTCACTTCTGCTTAGGCATATCTAACGCTCAACTATAGACTGGCGTCGTGGTGTCGCAGCAGAAAAAGAGCGACAGCTACTGTCCAAATTCGCCGATGATCCGAAAGCACCCTACTCGATTCATCGGTTCGTGCAGCATGGCGCGGTCGCGTGTGGAAAATATCCTGGGGAGTGGTTTGGTCCTTCAGCTACAGCCCGATGCATCCAGTAAGCTATCCGCCTACAGAACCCACGAACCAGGTTCGCCTCTAACACCGACACTCTCCTCCAGAGCCCTGGTCAACGCGAATGAGCCCCATCTTCGGGTGTATTCAACGGGCGATGGACCGGATGTATATGAAGATAGGTTCTTCGACATCGCAAAGCCCAGCGGTGAAACATTCCATCCAACTCTCATCCTCGTTGGGACGCGGCTCGGCATTGACAAAATCACACCTGTATATTGGGACGCGCTCATTGCAGCCTTACAGATGCCGCAATCAATTGGCATTGCCGGGTAAGTGAGCACCTCGGGTGGTTCATAATATTCTCTAAACCTCTTGCAGCGGGCGACCTTCATCGTCCCACTATTTTATCGGAGCGCAGGGTTCTTTTCTTTTCTACCTCGATCCCCATCACACCAGGACCGCACTACCATATTATCAGGATCCTACCCTGTATGCCCAGGCGGACGTGGATTCTGTCCACACTCGCCGGCTCCGCCGACTACACGTCCGAGAGATGGACCCCAGCATGCTGATCGGTTTCGTCATCCATGATGAGGACGACTGGGATGAATGGAAGCGAACTGTCAAGCACGTCCAGGGCAAGGCCGTCATCCACGTAGCAGACTATGATCCTGTCCGTCACGGAGCGGCCGGGGGTCGTGCGGGTGCCATCGATGAAGTCGAGCTGCTGAGCGATGACGACGAAGGCACTGTTTCGGGAGCCTGAATGGCCCTGCTCTCCACACAACATTAGTGCGATGAAGTGGTAGCATATCACTGGTGTGACTCTTGGGCGTTAGGTTGAGCCAAGGATATTCATGGATTGACGCATCTAAAGACAAGCATGCGGTGGTGTTTATGGAGTGGGTCTTGGGTCTGCTTTAATGGAGTTGTATGATCTATCCATCAATATTACTCTGTGGTTCCTTTCGTTTGATCCCCATCCGGTGTGATGGTCCTTTCACCGCAGCATAGTGGTTCATCGCTTCTTTTTCCGCGTCTTGGTGTTGGGTATGCCTGTGGTTTTCGGCGCAGCATGATCTTCATCACGTATGTGGATGAACAATTTTGTTTTGGATGAAAATGCCTCATGGCACACACCGCAAAGATGTTGTGGCTAGAACACATGGTAAATGGTTAGATTCGAGATACAGATTCCACTCGACGGTCAAGTACAGAAGCACATACCTCTTCGAGTTGTGCAGCAGCCTCACGCGCTGCCTTTTTCTCCCGCTTGGCTTTCGCCTTGCCAGGTTTCTTGGCAGGTATGTCGAGGTGATTCCTTTCATCCATACTAAAACCGCTACCTTTATCCGTGTTTGATGCGTGGGTGCCATCCAGCCCATCTTTAGTGTCTACGACGCCCGCGATTCTTCCCTCAACGGTAGCACGAGAAGCGTACTCGTCATCATCGTTATCGTTACCGTCGTCGTCAGTATTCGATACGTTGTCGACATAACCGCCATTTGTGGGCAATAGTGCTGTCTTAGACTCCTCGCCTCCAGCCACGGGTAAGTGCGGCTGCACATCGTTTAGTACGTCGAGCCCGTCGACAGACCTCACCTCCTCATCCCCAGAGTGAACCATATGGTCGTCACCGTCCCTGAGGTCTGCTGCAGTCCCACCCGAGGTCCCTGGAAGAACCTCAGCATTCATGTCCACATCTTCGGCCCGCATCTGGCGCCGAAGCTGTTGGACTGCCTTGAGATGCTTCTTGCTCCTCTCGTGTGCCTCGAAGGACTTCTCGCTTTTGAAAGTCTTATCGCAGACTACGCACTCTATGTGCTCAACTTCGGACTCCTCTTCGCTCTGGGTAAAGCTCGCTGCATCGGCATCATCTTGTCGAGACTGGGCCCATTCGGGCACCAAATGATCCTCGGCCAACTTCTCCATGTTCGCGGCGCGAGACCGCGCTGCTTGTGCAGCAGCAGCACTGCGCAGCGCAGACTGGCGTTCGGCATCAGTCTGCGAGTTCGGGAGATAGCGGGGGTCGCGCTTTCGGGCAAACGTGACGAGAAACCTGACCGCATCGTTGAACTCCTTGATAGCATCATCGCGCATCTTTTTATTCTCCTTCTCCATAGCCCGCCGCACACGGCGATCTGGGGCATCGGAAAGTCGGTATTTATCCTTCCAAGCGAATGTCTTTGCAGTAGAGAAGCCCGCCCAACTTGCGTAGAATGCCTTGACATTGGGCTCATACTCGTCGCTCGATTCGCCGAATGGGGGATAGTCAACCATATGAACAGAGTTGGAATCCCTTACAGCGTCCTCCTCATCTGCCAAGTGTGCGAATGTTTCGTTTAGTATACCATAAAACCCCATGGGATCATCGGTGAACGGTACCGTCGAGTTGAAGCGGCGGATGAGCGAAAGGATATCCTCCGTAGACGTCAGGCGTATGTTATTGAACTCAGGGGGGTGGTCGTAATCATCGGCATCCGCGCCCCGCAATATGGCCTCTCTGTGCGAATCGTACCAAGCCCTCTCCTGAGGGTCGGATAGAACCTCATAAGCAGATTGGATCTCGGCGAAGCGACGGGTGGCATTTTCGACATCGTCGTAGTTTCGATCCGGGTGGAGCTCGAGCGCTTTCCTTCGGTAACTCTTCTTAATTCTAGGAAAATGTTAGCAGGGCATCGAATACGAATGCGACAGTTTTACTCTTCGTCGGTAGCTTCACGATCGACTCCGAGAAGTTCATAATAGCATATCTTCGCTGCAGCAAGGCCAGCACCGGATTGTTCCTGGTGGCGATCCGAGGACTGTTGGGCGCCCATTGCGAAAATTGATATGTGGCAACCTGCCGCCGGGGTTCTATTTTTTGGCGACTACAGTGGCGGCAAAGAGCGCTCCAGCGCGTCAGCGTTCGCGTTTGGTAAGAATATTTACAGTCCCAGGTTGTGTCATGAATGCCATCATCTTGGGCAAGAAACGAACGCTTGTGATCAACCCCCCCCCCCCCCCCCCCCACCTTGCCCCGCGATGTTTCCTCATACCACCGACCGACGATTGGCAGGCCGCTGTCCTGGCACAGTGTTGATCGGCCGGCCTGCTGTGTGGGGTCCTGACACTGTCTGCCAGCATGCTACAGGCCGCAGCGTGCCGGGCAGTAAGGTCGGAGGCTTTAAGAATGCCAGCTCAACTGGGTACCTTGCCTTGGTCAGACAAACTTGGGCTTTAGCTTCTCTTCTACGAACGCATCCAAGCTCTTGTATTGGCTGGTCGAGCTGAGTGCACAGACAATGTCGCGGCAACACATGTGTCGTTGACTACCCAAGTATGTACATCGATCTAACAATGAGGCACAGGGGATGGAGAGGTCGGCTGAGAAGTACGAGGTCACACGGGCGGGCGTGGTCGGCATAACACGGGGACATAATTTTCACCCCATTACGCAAGACAGCCAGCATAAAATTTAGTTCATTGGAGTTTGCGAGGGCCAGGGGCTGCCCCTGCACTGCACATGTGGGAGGGTGCGACTGATCCGACCCGGGATCGCGGCTGGGCTATGCCCTGTGAGGCATGGTGTGCAGGAACTTGGGCAACTGGGATCCAGACTGGCCTATGGTTCTGCTTTGCATGTTGAGCAGTGTCGCGACTCATCGCCTGACCCGGTACAAAAGCACCTCACCTGCCCCATATCCTACCCCCCCCCCTCCGCCGCCCTTGGAAATGAAGGCGAATGAAGCGTGACCACCGACGTGACAATGAAGTTCGCACACGACTTCAAAGAGACCCTTTCGCGTGAAGGTAGGTACGTCCTCATGCTCAGCATCAATGAGCTGAGTTGATCGTGACTCTCGCTGACATGCACGTCACCCACAGGTTTCCCTTCACACTGGGTCGAATCGGCCATACCATATAGCCAACTAAAAAAGGTGCTGAAGAGAGTCGCTGGCGAACTGAACGATCTCGGCTTGGACCCTGAGACGTTGCGCCAGCTGCTTGATCCCCAAAGCGACTCGCCTTTGGTAATCGAGTATGGCTTGAAAGGTACACGATCCGACTCGATCACTCATCCCCTGCTCAATTTGTTGACACATACCAGTCGCGCAAGGCTCGGAGTTTCTGAGGCCCCAGCTCACGGTACTGCTTCACCTCCAGGACGGAGTAGCAGTGGATGTATCTTTGTCATCAAGTTCTCGAACCTTTTTGGAATACATTTCATCTTTGCAGGCAAACTCGCCACGGCATCCAGCGCTGCCATCGGAAGAATCACCAGAACCACCAAGAGAAGCATTAACAGATGGCGCGGCGAGTTCAGAATCAAATGCTAGCTTCGCCAAACTAACTGAACCTGCCGGTTTGGACCGTTCAGGCGAGGCAATTTCCTCAAGCGCCTCGCTGGCCAACCCTCTCTGCAAGCAGCTTGAGGTTCCGCTCGTCTTCGATGGCAAGTTCTTCGACATGCTGCAGAGCGATGTCAATGGTCTAGACGCCCTACAGGCTCGCGAAGAGGTCGCCATGACGAAGGAGATCGTGGCTCTAGGGCAGGACGTCTCCCAACTCACCAAGCCTAGCCGGCTTTCGAAGAGTGACCTTGCGCGATGGCGAACCATTTTCGAGCTCTATCTCGAAGCCCAAGTCTTCTTTTCCGTCTACGAGCAGGACCACGGTACACGCGACAGCCATTCGGCCTCACGCCAGCTGCAGTGGTTCCAGGGCGAAGTCACAAAGCGGAATCTCGTCCGCCAGTTCAAGATGTCGGAGAGTCGAGAGGCGCTTGTTCGCTTCCTTCGTCTCAACGCCCTGCTTCTGAAGAACATACAATTTCAGGAGATCAACCGCACCGCCATTCATAAAATCCTCAAAAAGTTTGACAAGCGCACGTCTCTGGGTGTTTCCAAGACGTTCCCCGCCCAGATCCGCTCTGACAAGCTACTCGCTGGTACCATGGCTAGGGATATGTGTGCTCAAGTGTCCACTGAGCTTGTTTCTGTTGTTCCTCAACTCAACGACTACCTCTGCCCTGTCTGTTTCGCCATCGCATATCGCCCTGTGCGTCTGGCTTGCCAGCATATTTTCTGCATTCGCTGCATTGTCAAGATACAACGGCGGCGCGAGAAGCATTGTCCATTGTGCAGAGCCGACGTCGTCATGGATGCTTCAGCTGGTAAGTTCCCATGTTTCAATCCTTCCGGCCCAAGGGTATATTTCAATGCTCTTACTGACGCATATGCAGATAATCTGGATATCGAGTTGGACAGGTATCTACGGAAATACTTCAACAAGGAAGTGAAGGAGAAGATCCGCGCCAATGACATTGAACGAGGCATGGAGGACTATGGCCCTGGGTACACGCATTCTGATTGTGCCATTATGTAAAGCGGTCCGAGACCGATACTCTGGTACTGTATGGCTGTTCTCTCGAAACGATGATACCCCTAGCTTGAATTCGAATGCGTTGCTACACAGAATTCGTCATTCCAATCTATTGACTCCATAGTTGTGAGTCTTGAACTGGTATACGCGTTGTGCTCAAGTCTCTGATTGCACTTGGCGTTGCTCTTGGGTCATCACGGGGTTCACATTTCATAAGTGACCTCAACACCGTATCTTTCTATTGAACCACGAAACGAGATAGGACCCTGCATTGAGGGCAAGACAGGTTGGGATCGACGTCGCGTACCGATAGACAGACCTCTGTACGATTTGCCAGGAAAAGCTGTGTGGTTTGACTTTGCCCATTGGGTCGCATTTCATATCATCATTGTCACATTACACGTTTTGTCTCGCTATCCCATGTTAATGGTTATCAATTTGGACTGGGTTATACTCTCGAGCTTAAGTGGCCCAGGCAGTATTGGCTTGTGGTCATGCTGGGGCAATACGCTTTGTTGCGGATGCTTGATCCATCCATATTTCTGCCATGCCATCCGCGGAAGCTACTCGATTTTCTTTGCACTGTCGGCAACCTCCAGAGCCCGCATAAAGATGGATTCAAGCTCCTCGGTTTCCTCCAACCCCACACTGACACGGATCAGGTCCGGGTCAACACCGAACTGGGCCGCCCATTCAAGCTCCTGGTAGTGGGCGAGTAGGACGTAAGGCGAGGTGAGAGTAAAGTTGGTCCCGAGACTTGGGCCTTTCGCAGTCTCAACGGCATCGAAGAAGGCCATGGCGCACTCCCGACGATGAAACGTAACAGACAGCAGCGCACCATAGCCACCATCGGGGAGTCGGCATGCTTCATAGTTGGCACGTGTTGGGTTCACCTTGGGGTAGTAGACGCGCTTGACGAGAGGGCTGGCCGAGAGTATGTCGCAGAGGGCCTCCGAGTTGATGTTCGTCCTCTCGATGCGGGAGTGGAAGTCGCGGCTGTTCCTCTCCATGAACACTACGTCTTTCCGGCCAGTAGGTGTCTTCAAAGTTCTGCGCGTAGGCCTCACGCAGCGCGGCGTAGTACCGGCTTGCGGGGTTCAGTATGGCGCTGCCTCCCATGACGTTGCAGTCGCCAGAGAAGATCTTGGTCAGACTGCTGACGACAATGTCGGCAAACTTGACCACCTCGACATTGACAAATGTCCCCACCGTTTCATCCACAACGACGCCAAAATCGTACTTGTCGGCGAGTTGCCGGATGCGCACCAGGTCTGGACACGACAGGAGCGGATTGGCCGGAAACTCGCAGAACAACGCCAGGAAACGCTCTCCGTTCTCGAGCCGCTTTTCCAAGTCGTCCAGGTCTTCCGACGAAGCATGGCCGTAAAAGCGGCATCCTGGCCCGAACTTTTGCAGAATTTTCAACGTGTCGACGTAGGGGAAACCAAAACTTATGCTTTCCAGGTTACCCCTTGCACGGAGCATGGCTCGGTGAGCGTTGAAAATGGCGTTCATACCGCAGGGGAAAAGATAGACGTCGCTTTCCTGCAGCTCAGAGAGACCCCTGGCGTTGGTCGTCATGGGTGGCAGTGAGGTGACGCTCGACTCGAGATCGGCGGCCATTGCGCCTGCGATTCTTCTGCGAATGGCCGACTTGGCACGTTCGACAAACGACAGATCCAGGTTCCGGCCGAAGCGCTCTTCAAGGAACCGCATGCTCTCGACAGACTCAGCCGTTACGTTCCTGTCCTTGTCCGGCGTCGTGTGCGGACTGCCGTTGGCCACAGGGGGTATTTTCATGTCGACAGATCCGCGCTGATACCTCTTGGGCCCCTTGCATGTCTTTTGCTGGTTGTTTTCCGGTGAACTTGGTCGTGACGAGGGGCAAAGAAGGCCCTCGCGGAGTAAGCCATGGCAAAATTCGGCCCGGCGACTCGAGACACCGTCCCCAGAATGTTGCCAGTATTGCTTGGCCAGGGCGTATGATTCTGCTGGACATATAACACCAGATATGGCGGGAGACAGGGCTTTGAGCTGGCTCGAAATGTCTTGAGAAGCATCGAGGCCGAGATCAACGACTTGCAGGACGGACTTCAGCGAACCGTCGCCGTGTCGGCACATGAAGTCAACACACCGTCTGGCGGCTGCTGGGCTGGGAAACAGCATGGCTCGCTGGCCGGGCCGTCCATGAGTCCGCACTATAGCCTCAGCGAGGGCCTCGATGCTCCTATGGACGAAAAATCTAGGAAGCATGAGCAGGGCAGGACATAAAGGGCTGAGGACCGCACCGCGAGCGTGCACATACCTTGGGTAGCCTGTTGTCAACTTGTCGACAACCCATTTCTCGCCCTCCTCGTAACCGACGTTGTCCTTCCATGTAGGCAAAGACACACTCACGGCCTGGGGTGAGTCGTTAACGAGTCAGTGAGTGATAAGTGAGGCTTCATTTAGCAGGTTTACTGACATGTGCTGTATCGGGGGGAATCGACTGGCCGAGATCGAATGTCGGCATTTTGGGGGGCACTGGTGGGCAGGTGGTTTCGTCCAAAGTGGGAAAAAATGAGTAAATGTTGCTCACTGCCAGCTCATGAGGATATTTCGGCTCGTGGTGTCTAACCCCAAAGCTCCAGACAGATCATTACTCACAACAGACTCATAGTGAGATGCAGATCCAAGAACTTCCAGCACCCGCCCAATATGGTGCGGCACCGGAGCTGTCACACTGTACGCGGGAGACTTGCCAAAGGCCGATTGTCGGAGATCCGTCAAATCAATCGACCAGACATGACTGACTCACACAAGTGCACATCCGTCCCACCGTCTCCACGATCCAAACGACCGCGGACTTTTCGCCCCAGCGCTAGTTGCTTGCTATATTACTAAGACAAGCTGGTGCGAATCTCACGGCAGGGCCTGCTGTTCATGAAGGCGTCAAAGTAGAATGAGGCGACGCTGACTACTGTATTCGTACCTATGTGCTGTGTCCAATTTCTGGACGCCGCCTTCCTGAGGACGACGCCAGTTAATCTGTAATATTCTGTAAATCCATCGGGCCGCTCAGGCCCTGATCCCCATAACTCCTTCATGCAGACCGTAATCCTAAGGATTGTACCTTCGTCTGCTCATCTTGCTACCAACACAGCTGATACTATCGCTGGGGGCGACGCTGACGACATCATCGTCCCAAGCAGCATGGCTGCTGCCGACGCCGCTCATGGGCAACCCAATGTTGCGTGCTGAAACATGGCTGGGCGTACGACTGGCGTTGGGTGGCGTCGAGTACGTGTTACCGCCCATGACGGCGTCGTGCATGCCTCCCGCATGAGATGCCGCCTTGCTGGGTGCCCTGCTGGCGCTGCTACGCGCCCGACTGGGAGCTTTACTAGGTGCCCTACTTGGTATGGCAACGATGCTAGGCTCCCGGACACTAGGCGCCCGGCTCGGGGCGGCAACTATACTGGGCTCACGCACGCTGGGGGCCCTGACGCTCGGCGCGGCGACGACACTGGGCTCCCGTACGCTGGGAGCTCTAACACTCGGCGCCCTGACACTGGGAGCCCTGGTGCTTGGTGCCTTGCTCGGGGCGCGACTTGTAGCGCGGCTTCTTACAGCCAGCTCCGTCTCGACGGTCGGGGGAGGTGGGCCGCGAATGGTGGTGGACGAGCGTCTGCTTCGAGCCGACACGTAGGTGTCGCGGTCAGAGTCCATAATAGGACCCTGAACCGAGGGGACCGCCGTCGGAGGACCACGGACAGAGGGAGGTGCGGTCGGAGGGCCGCGAACCGAGCGCGAGGCTGACAGAGGAAGCTGCTGCTCGACAGTGCTGTACCGGGAGCCGGCATTGCTCCGATGCTCGGTATCCATGATCATGAGCGGCCTGCGCGCGTCGTTGGGCGCTTCGCTGGGAGGACGAGCACCGCGACGGGAAGCGACGGAGCGGGTAGTGTGGCGGCTACGCCCGTCATCGTAGGTGTTGTCGGTGGCCTGATCATGGGGCGAATTGACATGGCTGTACTTAGCCAGATACTGCGGTGCCGGACGGTGGTCGGCAAGAGGAGCGTAGGCCTCGGGATAGCGAATCTTCTCGACAGTGCGCTCAACCTCGACGTAGCGGCCACCGTCTTGCAGTGCTGGGAGTCGATCGGGATACGTAGACCTGCGAATAACTGGGGGAGGCGCGGCGAGCTCCTGGCGTGGAGCTCGCTCTCGCTCGCCCCTCAGCATGCTGTAGGTCAAGGCGGCACCAGCGGCAGCACCAGCGGCGGCACCAAGTAACGCGCCGACGACGGTCGTAGTGTCGAACCCCGAAGATGTATCGCGCGCTGTAGCGACGGGCTGCTGCTCGATGATGGAGGTTGTGACGCTGCGGCGCAGAACGGTACAGGGCTCGGTCCCGGGGCGGACTGTACGGGCAGAGACCACGGAGGCGGGTCCGGGCTGCTGGCCGATCCACGGGTTGTGATCAGAGGCGGCTACGTCAAAGTTCCAGTCGAGGATGCGGCTCGACTCTTCATGTGTAGAGAAACTCCGATGGGTGCCAGCAACTGAGCCGCCATGCTGAGAAGGGGCAGCAGGGGCACGAGAAGAAGGGTCTTGATAGACGACGTCCATGGTGTTGCCGTCGAGATCTGTGATCGACGTGCGGGTCCAGTCGCCACAACCGCGGTGAGCGTGTGAGTCGTGTGCTGGGCCAAGCCCGAGTCCCTGTCCCTGAGAGGTCACGGACGGTGCCGCTGTCACGACCCCGGACAAAGGCGGGTTCGCCCGAATGGCAAATGCGTGGAAGTCAGCCACCGTTTGAGTCGAAGCAGCGGAAAAGGTGACGTTCGAGAGTCTTGGATGATGGGCTTCCCGAATCTGAAAAAGAGGCACCGGCGGTGAGGAGGTGCCGTACGTGATGGTCGCCGGAAGCTTCTCAGACACAAGCGCAGTCGCAGAGGATGACGATGGCGACGACGACGTGGGTGCGGGCACTGTAGCGATTTCGTCGCCGGGTTGAGATGTCGCGGAAATGTAATACAGGCCCAGCGGCTGCAGAACCGCCGAGTAGAAAGAGGATGAAGACGGCAAGTGAGAGACCTCAAAGAAGGGCAGCATTGGGCTAGGGCGAGTGATCCTGGTGTGCCAGTAGTTGATGGCTGGAACCTCGTGCTGTGCGACCGTGGAGTGTGAGCCCAGACTTTGGGACGGATCGAGAATCGAAGAGGATGACCTAAATAGTGCGTATAAGAAAACGAAGAAAAAAGAGTCTGGAGAAATCGAAATGAACAAGGATGCTACTGCTGTGATTGTCGTAGAAGGCTGATGGCAAGCAAGTCGGCGGCAATCACAAGGCGATGTCAGGTCCTAGAATGTTTATATACACCCAAGGTACCTAAGGTCCAAACCAAGACAGATGAAGTACGGTACCTACCTAGGTAGGTAAGGTAGCCAGGCTTGCCAGGGCAAGTGAGCGCATGCTGTACCCTGGATGGAAATCTAGACTCCAGCGAGCAGGCGGGACGGGCTCAGGCTCGGTCGGTCCTGATCACTCGTCGCTCCCATTGACTGAGTGAGCAAGTGCCAGCCGCCAAACCCGCCCTGCCTGTCGCCTGCCTGCCTGCCTGCTTGCCTACATGTAACTATTTGCCCACTTGCCCGCTTGCCCCTACATACTTGTTCGCTGCCAGAAGGAGAACCGGGAGACCGACCGCCTCTCTCTTTGGCCTGCCCCCTCCAAGCCCTCCTCTCACCCGCCGAATCGTCTGACCCGCCAGCCCCCTTCGAGTCGTGGATGCAGCGAATGGAGCGCTTGCAACGAATAGGGCGGGTTGGGCGGCCACCGCGGGGCCATCCGAGCCTTCGCTGCAGCTGCATGCTCGGCCACGTTGTATCGATAGAGGAGAAGCGAGAGGATACCGTTCGAATCCTCCACTACCCACTTGGGAGTTGGGAGTCTTGGGCTCCTCAGCTTGGTCGTACTTCGTGATAGGCCGCTCGGCCTCCCGCCTCATCGAAGGGGTCGCGACCTGGGCCCCCTTTCCAGCCAACCCCACCAGACAGACGACCAGTACGAGCGCGGTATCATGACGGTCCTCACTACGTGTCCATACTACCATGCCCCCGAGCCTACCCGAATTCGTACTGACTGGCCCAGCACCTCACGGTCGGAGCTGTAGTACTGGTGAGAGGTGACCGGGCAGCAACATGCCGCATCAAAGTATGCCTAAGTGTTCGTCACCAGACTGGGCACGAGACGAACGCCAACGAGTATGCTCCGCCTCACGTCATTTGTCTAAAACATAGCCCGCACAAGACTTGTCCGCTCTGGGTTCTGCCGAGTATCTCTTGATTGTTCTACATTTACTGGCACTGCGGGCGGTTTGGGCCCATGCATCCACTCACATTTACCTGTAATGCATCCCCCCTCCTCAGCCAGAGAAGCGAGCACTATGGCAGGTCAAGCCAGTGCAAAGGGATGGGCACAATTTGTGCACTGTTTGCCTTGAGCGAACATCGTCGCCTCTCTTGAGCACTCACCGTCTCGCACCTGGTGTTCTCCATCTCCGCCACGCCCTGTAGAAGAACACACCTGGCATACCATACCTCCCCTGAAGGGTTCCGGTAACAATAAGGCTTACCAGGCAGTCACTTGTCCGCAGTTAAGATCAAGGTGCAAACGAAGACTAATCCTCCTCCGATCGACAAAGAACACGATAGCCTAGGTTGAATTGGCACGCGGGGACGGCAAACCCGCCAAGAGTTCCTGGTTGAACGCCCTCTTCTGCCCTGTCTGGAGCAGCCAAACAAAGTCATGGCATGTTCCGTGCTCGCCCTGCTCTTGCTGCAACCGCATTGTTGCCGCCGTCAGACTGCGCGTGATACTCAGAGGACATCCCACGAGTCCTCGGCGGCGTGGCAGAACTTGCTGCAGGCAACACTGGCAGACAAGCTGAAGTTGCTGATGGCAATCTTCTCGTCCACGAGGCCGTCAGCAAACGTGTCAGCGCCCTTGGCCATGGCGCCAACAAAGACGCAGATGCTCTCCTTCGGGCCGAGCGTGTCAACGTAGTCCCTCACTTTCACCAGGGGCGCGTCAAAACTGAGCGTGACCTTGCGGCAATTGGGCGGGAGATGATCAGTGATGGGGTTCTGGATGACGCGCAAGAGTTTCTCCTGTGAGTTGGTCGAGCGAATCGACAGGCGGTGCAGGAGTTGAACCATGAGACCGGCGAAGCGCTTGAAGGTTCGAGGGATACGGACCGAAGGCGACACTTCAATCAGAACCCCTTTTGCTGTGTGAATGTAGATCTGGAGTTTCCCGGCCTTGTTGATCGGCGAGTCCAGCAGAGTCAAGAGGCACTAAGTCAGTCAAGTCAGCATGTTGGATGCAGACGGAGGCATGCAATGCCGGCTACGACGCGGTTGAGCGCGCCGCCGCAGAGGGTGGGAAGTTCGGACCTGGTGTGTGATATCTGGCCGGGCGTCACTGATGTCCCGGTTCATCTTCCGCATGATGCCAATATGTTCATCGCTGTTGAGGAGAGAATATTTTTCTTCGCGCTGGATGCCATTGCGGCCAGCACCTCCATGGGATGCCTTGTAAGTCTCGAGACTTGCGTTCGAAAGCACAACGATCAGTCTCTTGCTGTCCTTGTCGGCGGGAGTGATCGGTACGTGTTGTTCCGCAACGAGCTGAGGAAGAGAGGGGGGCGGGAGAGACTGCGTGCCTGCGGAATCATGAGACATGTCAGCGAATGGACGCCCTCCGCAAAAAAAAAAAAAAACAGTAAAACGTGCGTGCGAGCGTATATCTTGCCCCGCGCACGAAAGAGCGGGAAAGATGAAGCACAGCAATCACAGAGAAGAGGCTATCATCAATCCTGGTCCGGCCCGATGCGTGAGATATAGGCGAGAAATACGGCAGCTTTCAGGCCCTGCCACTAAACCGCCTACACTGGCAACCTCGGGCCGTCGATCTGCAGCTCTGGCTGCCTTGAACAGGCTCTCTGCCCGTACCGTACGCACCAACGCACGCTTGCTTGTTCATAGACCTTGGGGGGGGAGTATTACTTACGGGGACGTTTAACACCCGCAACAGCGGCACGACCTTCGGGGCTCGCCATGATGTCGAAGGAGAGGTTAACTCGAATTGGTGGCGAAGTCTCTCAATTCTCCAAAACGAAAGGAAACAGGATACCGAATTGAGGACAAATTTCTGTCTCATGAAAATCAACGCAGGTCACCTCACCTAAAAGGCAGGCTAAATTAGGACTGTACGAAGAAGGTACATCCTCGGTAGCGAGGCACCTTGACCACTCAACACCCCGCGATAAGACATTTTTGCGCGGCAGTAAATGCACTGTGTAGGAACATCTTGCCGCTAGCGCCATATGCCCCATTGAGCCACAGTAGTCAGCCATCTCAGTACGAGAGTGGGTCCGAGGTGGCTGCTGTACCTGAATAATTCAGAATACAACTTCGTCTACAAGGGATCGAGGTTCACCAGCAGTGCACGACATCCCACATCCTCTGCCCCCCCGGACGACTGGATCGGCAAGCACACACGTCTCCGAAGACCAGCCAAGCGCCCGAATATTCGCATATATACACTGAAACCCTGTCTTCCCACTCGTCCAGCTTCGGACCAAACCCTTCAACATGGCGTATCCTGTGACGAAAGCAGCCCAGCAAGTCGTGAAGGAGCTCCACGGAGTTGTTGTGTCCGCGGGGCTCATGCAGAAGACCGTCAAAGTACGCGTTGGCGGGCAAAAATACAACCGCAAGGTTCAAAAGGTAGGTCTACTTACGGCGATATGTATTCTGACGTGATGCTAACCCAAGCTTCTCACAGATGTTCACAACTCCCAAAAGCTATCTCGTACACGATCCAAACTCTTCTCTACGCACCGGAGATGTTGTCTCGATCATGCCCGGCTGGCCGACATCTCAGCACAAGCGACATGTTGTGAAACAAATCATTGCTCCGTTCGGAATCCCTATCGAAGACCGACCCCCTGTGCCATCTGCAGAAGAGCGGATAGCTCTGCGAGACCAAAAGAAGGCCGAGAAGGACGTGCGAAGGGAGACCAGGAGAAACGAAGCTAGAGAGGCGAAGCTTCTCGAGAAGGCAGAGCGACTCCGTGCTCGCAACGAAGAGGCGCACGCTGAAGCTTCGTGAGCAGGGAAGCTGTTGGGTGGTCGTAGCAGACCAGGTTTGACAATAGTCATGCCGGGCGTACATGTGTCAGCTCATGTGCACACCCCTAGCAGAGCGATGATGAAGGCTTTGCTTGAGCATTGACGCGGGCACTGTCCGTAGGGCTGCTTGTACATGTACATCTTGTATACCAGTGTATATCATAGAAAGACTCTGGAACCATCTCCAGCCTCGGATCCATTTGCGCCATCATAGCCCTCAGAACTCCAGTGTACCAATCTTGCCGATTTCATAATGAAGGGCCCAGCTGGGCATGCGGTTCGTGATACTGCTCTCACCCACCCCGTTCACCGAACTCCTGCGCCCAGTCCTCGTACTCTTTGAGACCAGTCTTGCTGACACTAGGCCGAATGTTTGTCAAGCTAGCCTTGAAGTCAACTATAGAAATAGGACGAATGTCGTCCATCGTCATGTGCAGGAGTGCCTCGCCCAGCGACCTTAGAGGACCCATCGCTGCGTCTTTTGCTAGGGCAGTGATGTCAGAGCCCGAAAAGCCTATTTATACAAGAGGTTTCGTTAGTTTTCTGACCGACAACGAACGAAAGAAAGCACTCCTGTGTTGGGGAAATCTTACCATCCGTGAGTGTGACCAGTTCTTCGACGTCATAATCGGACAAGCCATGTTTCTGCTGACTTAGCAACGTTCTGAGCTGTGTAGACCTCGTCTCTGGCTCAGGAAGGGGAATGTATTGACGGCGAACAAAACGTCGACGTGCAGCTTCGTCGATAGCCCAAGGAAGATTAGTAGCAGCAAGAACCAGAACACGGTTTGCATCTCCACGAGACTTATCCAACTCGTCAGGTGCCCTACCGGCTGCTGCACGTTGAAGGTCGCTCCACTGGATCAGAAACTCCGTCTTGATGCGTCGCGTTGCCTCGTGCTCGCCCGAACCTGATCTCTGGGAGAGGAGGGAGTCGATCTCATCGACAAAGATAATACTAGGGGCCAGTTCCTTCGCCAGGGAGAAAAGTGCGCGAACCAGCTTTTCTGACTCGCCAAGATACTTGCTCGTGAGACTGCTGGCGGAGATCGAGAAGAACGTTGATCGAGACTCTGTAGCGACCGCCCGAGCAAGCATCGTCTTGCCAGTGCCAGGAGGGCCAAAAAGGAGCATGCCACGAGCTGGTTCTCGTAAACCCATGAACAGGTCTGGCCGCAGGAAAGGGTAGACCACTGCCTCTCGCAACGCGTTCTTTGCTATCTCAAGCCCGGCGACATCGCTCCAATGCACCTCGTCGCCCTTCACAACAATCTCGTTCAAGATCTGTTTGGCAGCACCTTCATCCACTCCTGGTGGCAGGTTTTTGAGGATAGCTTTCTTGCGGTTCTTCCATTCCGTCTTGTATGGAGAACTTTCCCCAGCATCTGATCCATCAGACGACTTGGCGTCGGTGTCAGCAATAATTGCATCTTCCTTTCGCTTCCCTTTGGGTCTCCTTCTGGTAGGCCTCTGCGGCGACGCCTGGTGACCTGAGTTTTCGGATGCGCTCGAATCTCGTGATGATGCACGAGGTCTTCTCACTGCTTGGTTCGCGACAGCTTTCGCAGGCCTGTCTCGTTCTTGTCCGCTTGAAGAAGAAGGGTCTGCACGCTTCGGGCCTTCTCCAACAGCCTTTCGCCTAATGCCAGAATCCGAGGTGCTCTTGCGTCGATCATGTGCTTCATCAATATCGGAATGGCTGGTTCCCTCTTTCCGCGCTGCCCTAGCGGCCGGGACTGACAGTGCAGCATTACGAGATCGGGATATGCGATCTTGTCTTGGCGTAGCAAGCTCCAGCGATGGTGATTCTTGAATGGAGACAGAATTCAGAGCACTCGAAGCCGCGCTGACCGACAAAGCGGATGGCCGGTCGTAAGAGAACTCTTCGGAATGTCTTGTAGGACGTGACCCATCGGGCAACGCCGCATCCGCATCCCGGGGCGTGACGAGCCTCCGTGTATGGATATCCCATTGTAGAGGGGAGACACCTGCACCTTTCTTCGGCTGGTCGTTGCTTTGCCGAGGGCTTGCACTGGGAGATACAGAATCACTACCAGAGCCTAGCCCTCTCAAGAGCCGGTCTTTCGAAGTCAAGGCACTCCATGCAAGTGTAGCGGCCTTGCTTGCTCCTGGACCTTCGGGTTTGGCAGATTTGCGGGAAAGCTTGGTTGTCTTTTCCCCTGGTCTCGCGCTGCGCAGTGTGGTCCTCATTGTGTGCTTTTCAGGACTAGGTGAACGCATCATCTTCTCCTTCGTGTTGTTCGCCGAATGTGTTCGTGCGGGACCCGGAGATGGCAACACTCCAGCTTCGGGGCCAGAGCCGGAACCTGATGCGTTGCCACTCACGACAGCTCGTTCTGAAGATGTCCGATTCGGTAGTGAGGGTCTACTGGGCAAAGCAGGGCGTGATAATTCGGGATACGTCGCTGCGGGGATGGTGCCTTGGCCGATCCAGCCACGCGCAGATGTTGGGCTCGAGACTGCCATGTTAGGTGGGCTCGTAAAGTTTGCAGCGGCAGAACGCGCAGGTGTGGAAGACCTAGGCGCTTCCTGTCGAGACATACGCAAGGCTTCTAGTAGATCGATACGCTCTTTGCATTGCAGTTCGAGCTGCAACAAGGAGTCGACCAGAGCCGCCTCGGTTTCAGACCTTGGGGTGTAGTTAGGGAGGACTTTGCTGGAATGGTGACTTAGGATTTCGTCCAAGGCATTACGCCAACATCGCATCGCATCTTCTTCGTTGCCCTGTCGAAAACTAATGCATTAGTACACCCTCGATCAAGATGAACAAAAGGAGCACTCGCGAACCTGACTCTCGTAGTAGACAGCCGTTGAGCATTTCAGATAACTGTCATCGTACGTCTTTTGCAGTATGGCCAGGCCCCTATTGCGTGACATCGCATCAAGACCGTCAGGGCATGACAGGGTGGTCCAGATGTAAAGAGGCGTTGCTGCTATTTGCTTGTCTACTGCTCTGGAGGGGCTGGAGGTTGAAGGCAAATCGAGTTAGGCTTGTGTTCCGCTTGGATTGCGAGGGCGGGCATAGCCACACAGGCGCACTGATCATGAACCGACGTCTTGACAGTGCATGCGAAACACCTTCTGAAATGTGTATTGAGCAACCGATAATGAGTTCTTTGGATTTGCCGAGGTTTGGGTGGTAGGGATTCGATTAGGCTGCTTTGCAGAGCGAAGGTGGGCAAGTGAGGTTGGTGGTGGATTGTGATATGACGTCGCTGTTTGCGCTTGGTCTGCTTTGAGAGACGGGCTCCCTTGGCTGGGGGCTGACGACGCTGTACGCCTTCGTCCATAGCTCGCAAGGCACAAACCAGCCGCATTACATGATTGTCTCGCATCCGGATTGCGTATCCGCATTTTCTTCCCACTGAACTAAAGTACACCTATGTGTCTGCGACAGCTATAGACATCGTATTTGCATAGTCTTCATGCCGCTCCTCACAGCACTGGAAGATCACCACGGCCCCAGGAAGCCTGAGTCTACGTCATTGACTTGGCATCAAACCTCCGAATTGAAATGTTATTTGAGT